AGAGAGAGAGAGAGAGAGAGAGAGAGAGAGAGAGAGAGAGAGAGAGACGTAGTGGCAAATAGGTCGCGTGCGGGCGGGCGGGCGGCTGCGTGTGTGTGCGTTTGCACAGGGGGGCGGGTGCGAAAGCGCTTTCGTTGTGCGGAGGGTGCGCGCGGAGGGCGAAGGCGAAGGGCGAAACCGCGGAGGGCGGGCGCAGAGGGTGAAATCCGAAGGCGAAAGCGCGGAGCGTGGGTGCGGAGAGCGGAGGGCGGGCGCGGAGGGCCTGCGCGAAAGCAAAAGGAAAGCAGTGAAACTCCCGCCCGAAACGCAAAAAAAGTAGAAATTTACTAGAAAAACAAAAAAACAAAAAAGAAAAGAAAAAGAAACGAAACGGCGCCCGGCTGAGGCGCGTCAGACGCGACAGATTTTGTATCGGACGCCTCAAGATCCATGCATCATCGGTCGAGATTGTATCACGGCGCGTCAAACGCGTTAGATTCGTATCCGACGTCTCAAAATCGTTGATCGCACGCCCGAAGTTCATCACAGGTGAACCGACACAGCCCACGGCCGAAAAACTTTGTCATGTTGGTAGTGATAAAAAAATATTCAGATATTTTTGAGTAGGATCGAACAGATGGTTCCGGTCGGACGTTTGGCCCGGTTGTCCAGGCGGACATCCCGGACGGTCAGGGGGGTCCCGGACGTCCGATCAGGTAACTTAGCTAAATAGCACATAAAAAAATAAACATAAATAGCACATAAACCGAGGCAGAAAATGATCCTCAGACATATAGGAGGTTGGATAAGTATGACGGGGTCAACATAACTAAAGTCAAGCAGCCTGAAAAAAGAGAACCAGTAAAAGAAGCACAAAGTTTGAGCACCGGTACTTTCTACAGGCAAATGTTTCCAACAACTTGGTATACCACCTCGCTCTTCGGATCAATAGTGACACCAGACCAAGATGAATGGCGGCACCAGCCAAACAAAAAGGAGAATGTGACCATGGTGGTTCTTCATTTCTTTGGGGTGGGCTGCGGTGGGGGGGGGCACTTCTTTTTGGGGTGCGCAGAGGAAATCAGTGTTGGGATAAAGAGGCTTGCTCAGACGTACTGGTGGTTTATGAACTTTAAAAAAAAAAAAGGCACAGTTCTGTGACAAAACCAACTTTTGGATCTCAGTTCTCTCAAAACGCCTTAATTCACAGGATATGATATAAATTCTCTAAGAAAAGACAAACGTCAGCAAGAAGCCCAAGATCCCAGTTGGACATGCGAGCCCGCGAGTGTGGGGAGAACATACAAGGCCAAATAGAATCCAGTCCGCCGCAGGAGCAGCTTTAATCGCAACAACAATGGTCTGATACAGACCAGCCAGGCTGGAGGATCACATTTTTTCGAGGTTTAGTCCATTTGGATGGGAAAAAAGGACGCAGGAATCTATCTTTACATCAAACCATGTTTCAGGGTTACCAGGAAGGATGTATCACCATAGGGGAAGGAAAGGGCACACAATTATTTCCTGTTACCAGGAAGGATGTATCACCCCTTCCCCATTGAGAGTTTTTTAGAGGCTGAGGGTCCCTCGCCCATAACAAAGAAGAAAGAGAATATATATTCTTCTTTTTTTAACTTTTCTTTCGGCAATGACATTTTCAATAGAAGAAGGTAAACAACTTAATCACCTCGTGCTGATTCAACCGACTGTAAATGTGTATGAGATGTTCAACAGCTTCTGCAGGATTCTCATGGAACTCCTTCTCCCTGTAGTGAAGGGTCTTTGCATAGGTGAGGCACTGCATATCCGGTAACATGAGTCACACTATCAGAACTCCAACAATATGTACGTGAACATTAACTGCATCACTTGGTGTGGGAATGCCCCAAGACGGGTCCAACCACCGTAATACATTCGTTCCAACATACAGCAGAGTGTTAGGAGCTTCTGCTAAAACAATTATAGGGCAGCAAAAATCACATACAGCACAGAGAAAGCTATTCAATGTTGTGATGCAGTGCACACCTGTCGTTTGTGCCAATTATAATCATCAACAAGAATCAGGAGACCATCACTATCTATGAAAACATAGGGCACATCCGTCCATCCATTCATTCATTCCATCCCATCCACCCATCCCTCCAACCATCCATCAATTCATGTGTGCTTTTGCCTCCGTCTGTTGCTCTCTCTCTCTCTCTCTCTCTCATACACACACACACACATGCACATATACCCCCCCCCCCCCCCCCCCCCCCCCC